GGTCAGCTCTCTTGCTACCATGTCCTACTCATCGCCTGCACGACCTGCACCTCATGCCGCCATAGTGCCTAGGTTCCATGGGTTCAACTGATGTCGTCATGACCATTGTTGTTTCCAGCAGATGTTGTCCAAGTGATTCTCTTGGGTCTTGACATGAGCCTCATGCCTTCCTTACAATGTAAGGAGCTTTTACTTGCTAGAGGTGGTCTACACGATCCTAGCTACATGGCCAGTTCCGTTGCTGCCGCCACGAATCAAACCTGCTCTGATACTATGTGAGAAAATACTGAATACTGAATTTTACTGTATTTCAAAGCCCCCAGGGCTTATTGAATATGTGTACAAGAGCTCCAATTTATTGGGTTACAAAGCTGTGTAGTACTACAGAAAGTAACATTATAATAAACCACCTTCCTAATATGGATATACATAAAAAGAAAGAAAATATTTTACACAAAAAATAAATGCAGGTTTCTATCACTTCACACCACAAACCCCCAAAACTCCCTCTTTTGAGACTCCATACTTGTCCCTAATCAATTTGGGACTAAAATTTTAAAGTTGTCGTTCTTATATGGCTGAGGCACTAAACAATACAAGTAAGGTGCACCTTTAAATAGTGCAAAAATATGTTATTTCAATATCAAAAATTTTTAGGATGACCTAAAAATTTATTTTTATCTTTAATTTTAAAATTCAAACATTAAAAAATAGTACAGATCGAGCAAATCTATAAACGCTTGAAAAACTTGAAAATTGACGGTTTAGATAATACATTACAAGATGCACTACTTTCAAGACTTGAAATCTATTTTTTCTTATGTCCATAAATCTCTAGGTCGAGATGATCGAATTAAGAGTTTTTTAGCTTTGAAACAACCTTTGTGTGAATTTTTGAGGTCGCCTTAATTTGATTATTTTGGACCTCCCCCTTATATAAACTTTTTCCAACAAAATTATATATGTTCTCTTTGAGACACCATTTTCTAAAATAATTAGGTTAAAGATGATCTACTGCAGGTTGAGCCTTAATTTCTTTCTCAAATGGATTTTCATGCTTTACTATTAATAACTAAAGCATTGGAAAGGGCTGGGTGGTCTTTCCCACCTCAGAACCCATCCTTCTCAAATGGATTTTCATGCTTTACTATTAATAACTAAAGCATTGGAAAGGACTGGGTGGTCTTTCCCACCTCAGAACCCATCCTTGTAAAGTTTGTGTTCAGAACTAAAGGGGTTCCCCCATTATCAGAAAGAAGAATCCTTTCAATTTTGTAAAGAAAGGCAACAAAAAGCAGCAACTTCACAAGAAAATAATCACAAGATGGTTGAAACATAAAATTTAATAGAGGTTAAAGCACTTGCTTTTTTGTTGCTTTCTTGCTGGGAGAGTGGGTGTCAAAATGGCATGCAAAGTCTGCTTTGGAAGTTCCTTGCATGTGTTCTAGGTAAGGCAAGGATGTGGACCCCTTAGCTGCACCAAGTCTGGTTTAGGTTTGCTTTTGCCTTTTGCGGAAAGATATATTTACTCCCACATGAGTATACCATACATCTACTCCCTCATGCAAAACTTACATTAGAAATATTTTTTAAATCCCAAATTGTAGGGATGTGATCTCTAGACCTCAGCAACCAACCTCAACGAACAAAAGATTTTGAACTACTCCCTATGGGCCTAAAAAAAGTAGCATCTCAAGACTGCACTGAAACCATCAATTTTTGGAAGGATTGATCTCGATGTTCAAGAACTCAAACTCTAAATCTTTTCTTTTGAAATAATATCTAATTATAATTATATGGATCCCAAAATTTCAAATGTATATCATGCCCCCGAGGAAGCATAGATACTCACTCCTTTGCTTTTCTAGCAAGGCACAAATCTAAAACACAAGAAAGAGGATGGTCCCACATTTGACGATCTCACAAAGCAATTGCTGGGAAAGCTCCATTTTTGGCCTAAAATCATGTGAATGCAGGATTCAGGATCTTGACTTGGCCAAGTGGGGTTATGAAATTCATTCAAGATCCAAATCCCAACAAAACCTAACACAACTAGAAAGTCTTTGAAGAAAAGCAAACAATGCATCGACAAATTAAAAATAAGTGGTAATCCAACGAAATGGGAATCTGGGAGAAGCTCAAGTAATAGGATAGATGAAAAAAAAAGTGTTTTTTTTCTCTCAAAAAAAAAAAGAAGTGATAGGACAGATGGATGCATTTTGCATTACTACATGAAAAAGTGTTTTGTGAGTCAGCGGACTCACTAGCCCCCACAATCAAATGTATATCCACAACTAAAGATTTCAATTCAATGCATGGGAAAATATTCTAATAAAAAAGCTTTAAATTTTTATTTTATTATATTTTATTTTTTATATTCGATCATCATAAGGTAGATCATGTATCACTACAAATTTAGATCCAAAATCGATACAAATAATGGGTGTTCAAATGAGCCCGCATGAAAATAGTCCGAATCCGGGGACTCATAAAAACCAGCTCCTTAATAAAAACCCTAAATTGACATAGAGACAGCTCATTTTGCCAAAACAACTTTCCATTAATTTCCCCAACTATACGTAAAGCCATGTCCTTTTGGGACTCCGGAATTACGGAGTAACTTACTGCCGTATCAGATTTACCCAATTGGAAATGCCAAAAACAATTTAGGGATACCCGTTGGCTAACATGAACAATTTATTGCTGTATCAAATTGGGATATTTACATAAAAAACTATTTTATTTTCATGAAGTTAGAAAAATAGTCTCGCATATTTTTTATTGAAATTTATCAAGCTACACCAACTATTTTTTTTTTGGGTAATTCAGTGGGGATGATGGGCCCTACCTATTTTTTAAATTATTAGTGATATTTTCAATGCGTTGGGTGAGAATGAAAGCCTAGATCTTAACTGGGGCACAAGTGGTGTTACCCCCCGACTCCAACCCCATTCTCAACTTTTCAACATCTTTAGAATATGTTTTGATTTAATCTCAACAGCAAATAATCAAATTTCAAATAACCCAACAAATGACACATCAAAAATAGGTTTCAAATTTCTCACAATACACCAAGGGAAAAATTTTAAGTAGTTAAATTTTAGGTGGATTTTCATAAATTTCCTAGTTCCTATTTTCTATGTTTCGGCAGAGCCCCACTTTTTTGTGGTTTTTTAATTCCTATTGCCCCTAGTTCGGACATCTCTTCTATTTTTAAGCAAAAGAATGGTTAAGATAGTGGATGTCCGAACCAATTTTTTTTAGTGAAACAATAATTAGGACTTCCAATGTCGAAGCCGCTCTCTCACTAAAAAACATATGTTTGGATTTGGACATTGGACATCCGAACACAAATACTCTTTTTCTCCTCTTTTTTATTTTATTTTTTCTTTTTTTCTCAATGAAATGGCAATTCGGACGTACCATGTCAAAAGCATATGTTTCCGAAAAATTTCACTATGTTCAAGAGGACAATTGGAGTATGCAAATGAAAAATTCACTATAATCAAAAGGTAATATGCTATCCAATTATTTTCTCCAAAGGAAAAGGCTGTTCAAACATTGGATATGGACAGATATTATACATAAAATAAATAAATAAATAAATAAAATTACTCAAGAAGTTAAAAAGAAACAAGCGTTTCCCGTTTGGATGTTAATAATAATAATAATAATAATAATAATAATAATAATAATAAAAATAATAAATAATAAATAGAGCACGCCTTTGGGTTAAACGCCAAGTTTTAGATATCTGACCAACCTTTCACTTGCATCGGTTTGTTCAACCAAACACATCTTTTATAAGTTTGAACAGGCCTTTATTAAAAAAATATATATTTTGGACATCTAATGCGAAAGCACTCTTTTACCCCAAAAAATAGAAAGACCCCTTCCGAACATTAGATGTCAGAATTATAGTTAGCTAGTCGGTGACTATCAATAAACCGACTCATCATAAAACTGAAAATAAATTTTTTTTTTAAAAGTCGGATGAAAAAATCAAATAAAAAATACGGATCGGAAAAAAATACTTCATATAAGATATCACTAAAATATCGGATTAGGCTCAAAAAATTAGAGTCAAAAAATCGGATTAATTTATTATCTTAGAAATTTTGGAATTCTAAAAAGTAAATTATGTCAAAATCATCAATAACTAATTCGTCTATAAAAACTTTACTAGACTAATATAATTAAGTTAATTAATTTAGATTGCCTTGTGACTCTTATCCAATCAGCAATATTAAATACATAATTAACTAGTATATACAAAAAAAAATGTATCATATAAACTCTACCCATTAAATATTTTAAGAAACATCACACCTACTTATTACATAACAAAAACAAATATATTATTAAATTTATTCAGTAAATACTTTAACTATATATGGTGACAAATATACTATATAAATTTATTCAGTAAATACTTTAACTATGATATGGTGACAAATATACTATATAAATTTATTCATTAAATACTTAAACATCACACCGACTTAACAGGTTCAGTTCAGTGATTTAACTATGGTATGGTGACTATGATATTGCTGATTGCTGATTGCTTTTTCAAAAGCATGAAAGTAGCAACAGCTACAATACACAAAACCGAAAAAAAAAAATTATCGTTAAAAAAAATTTATAGGTAAAAAAGACTACTCTGGTTTGGCCTGATTTAAATTGTATTCTGAAAAAAGCGTGTTTTAAACATTTTTATAAAAACTACGCAATATTTTGCCGACCTTTTCAAAAAGTCACCGTTTAAAACTGTTTTTATATAAACGGTGATTTGCTAACTATGGTCAAAACTGGGGGTAGATGAAAATAAAAAGATAATGAAAATGTGGGACTTAGAACTGTTTGTTTATTTTAAAAAGTAATGGGATTTTTTTGCAAATTTTCCTAATATGACATGTCTCGGTACCCACATATACAGATTGCACACTTTTTCAAATCTACCCATTAATCACTAAAAAATGGCGAGTACTGATGGATCGTTCAGTTTTGAAGCCTCGTCTTTATCACTTTATTATTGAAAATATTTTACATAATAAGTCGACATTGTAAAATAAAACTCAATAAACTTAAACATCTGAGCCCCTTCATTTCACTTATTTTTAAACTAACCATCTGACCTTTTCCATTTCAATTATTTTTAAACTAACCATCTGAGCTTTTTCCTCACACATGAATTGCGCAGCCATTGAAGCCGCATGTGGAGCTCTATGTACATGGGCTAAACACGTACTTTATTACTTACACCAAGTTATCAGCCTTCAACTAGTATCCCGTTTCGATGAGGTGTAAGAAGCAATGGTGAAGAATGCTTACGCTTTGGCCTATGACTAGTAGCTGTGGAAGTACCAGCATTGGAGGATCCAGAACCACTAAATCGATTAGACACACTTCTCAATTTCTTCCTTTCAACTTCATAAAGTCTCAATTCAGTCCTTTGGGCCACAGCTGCCACATTCAAACCAGTAGGTAGAACACAGTTGCAGAGAAAGCCTGCAAGACAAAACTTAAGAAGATTAAACAATGGCTTTTGCATCAATCTGGCACCATTCAAATGTTTCAGCAATGATCGAGGGATTTTTCATTATATTTTACGATAACAAACACTGACTCCACACAGCTAACATCTGAAACATACAAAAAATTCACAACCCGGCACAATGTTAACATGTTGCACAAATTTACGAATTTTCTTGCTTGTTTTGGTGCTGAGCACCAGCCAATTCATCTTTGGGTTGGTCAGCAGCAGGATTAAAACCAATTTATCTCTTGGTCTTCATCATCATCATAGCCTTGGTCTTTATTGATAATTTATATTCATATTAGCAAAGGTGCAAAGCCATCATATTAAAGAATCAAGAGCTTTGGCCCATTTCAAGTCCTCAATATTTGCAAAGGTAATCCATGTAGACCTCTACAGAAGGAAACTCATAACGATATCACCCAACTTCTGAAACTAATAGAAGACCTTCTTTCCACCCAACTTTTAAATCTAATAAAATACCTTTTATTCGGATAGACCAACAATCTCCTTAATAGGGTTTTGTGACAATGGAATAGCCCTATTGGCAAAGCTTAACACTTTACCAGGTGAAAATCACAAGTAACAGAGACAACAGAGCCAAGCAAAGCAAATTGACTCATTCTAGATATGGAAATAGCAAAACCAAGGTTAGCAAACTGACCAATACTCGCTATACAGATAGCAAGGCTAAAGTTACAAAACTGACCAATTCTGGCAAGGCGGTTGACCCATCGAGGAATTGGGTTTCCAGTGAGCTTGATGCAAGCATCATTGCAGAAGTGGTTGCAGTTCTTCATGATGAGATGATAAGAGTTGCCCGTGTACTCAGAGGCTAGCTGCTCCATTAGGCTCCTGACTTCTTTAGGGTTCAGACCAGATCGCCCGATCAATATGGACTTGCGAAACACGAACCCTGGGCATTTCCTTGGCTCAGTCTCAAAGATCCCTGTACTGGAGTGCTCATGAGCACCAAAGGCATATTCTACACCATGGACTGCGAATAATCCACGAAGCATAGAGCCAATAAATGTATGTCTGGTTAGTTTTTTGACAAGATTAAATGTATTATTTGATGGTTTACTTTTATTTCAGGGATGATTTCTTTCATTTTGGTATATGTGAGAAAGCTTTACAGGTAACAAATCATCAAAACATGAAAGCAATGTAAGAAAGATCGCATGCTTATCCAATGGCAAATTTCCGAAGGAAATTGTGAATCTAAATTGCAGACCAATTTGTCACTCCTAGAAATTTCATACTCGATCTCATAGCAACCACAAAATGCAAATAAGGGCAACTATAGGAACAATATGGAAGCATTCTTATCTCTTATTAACTGTTCTTTCACCCTAGAAGGATGACTTTTCGAGAATTGCACTGATGAATTGAACCTTAATGTTGAGTGGCATGGTGTTCAAAACATTGACAAAAATTTGAGTGGGTAGATATGTGTTTGTCATGTCCAATCACAGTATAGGAGCAGTGAAAATCCACCATCTTCAATAAGGGCTAGAGCTAGCTTGGCAATCTTATGTATCCAAGTACCGATTAACACATGATGAGAATGGCCATCTGAATTTCCTGGAAGTCGCCATTTCATGATCATCGCAAATTGGGAGAAGCATCTCGCTATCTCAAAACCAAGCGTGAGACCCATCTGAATTTCCTGGAAGTCGCCATTTCATGATCATCTCAAATTGGGAGAAGCATCTCGCTATCTCAAAACCAAGCGGCAGACAACCAAGACCAAGTGTGAGGTCCTCGTGCCCATGTTTTTGGGATTATTGACTATCCAGCATATTCCAAAAACTGCTAATTTTACCTTACAATTTGCCATGAAGTTCTTCCTACTAGACATAACTTTTAATGATTCAATCCAATCCTTGATGGTAGCTACAAATTATTGTCAAACAAATCTTTCTTGGACCTATTCACAATGTTTAAAGGAATTGTATACAATGAAATCACTGTGGTACAAAGAGGTCACAATTACTTATAACATTCTGATGTGAAATTTGATAACTTGATGTATCGTAAACTTCGAGAAAATTTCTTTTAAACTTTGAGCTTGGTCAATGGAATAAATGCAACTACCCAATTTTACATCCAATGGTCAAAGATTAATTGTGGCCACCTCCTTATAATAAAGGTAAATGGTCTCATTGTATACTTTTCCATGGTTCAATAAGTAGAAATAACGGTTTATGTGTCTTTATGGAGTATGGACACATATGCTCATGCTTTTGGTGCATGTGGCACAAAGATGACAAATTTGACACTTTAGAAACTCAGGTTCTTCTACTTGATCATTCCAGTTGAAATCTCCTTACAAAAGTATTAATGTGACCTAAAATCTCACTCATCCTCCTATTCATTAATGTATAGTATCTATCTAAGGGCGTGTTTAAGGCATGGAGTTTTTGGGAGTGGATGGGACTCTCCCATCAATTATGGAAGACTATTCTTCCATCATTTTTAATGGTTCCAAAACTGAACCCATATTATCACTAAAAAAAAGCTGCTTGGAAGCCCGCCTTTCCACTTTACAGCTTCCACACAATAATATCAAAAATGGAAGTGGGACCTTTAACTCCCACTTCCAGAAACTCCAACTTATCAAAGACGCCCTAAAAGGCAAATTTCGGATCAACATTTCCCACTCCTATAGGTGTCAAACATTATTGACTCTTTGTAAAGCTCGAGTTTCTTCATCTCAGGACCAAAATTTCATCGCCCAAGAATAATCATATGCAAATAAAAATAACAAAAAGTAAGAGTTCATCTTGTAGCCAATTGTTTTTTCCATTCCAACCAAGTAAACAAATATGGACCACCAGTTTGGGTTTTTAACTAAACTTTAGGGGTACGAATGAGTGGGCTTGGCACCGGGCTGACCCGACCAGGACCCAACAGGACAAGGTGTAAGTTGGACCAAGATCCAGCAGGACTAGGTGTAAGTTGGACAAGGAGCTGAACCTGGGTTGGGTCCAAGTCAATTGCACCATATCTAAACCGGTTCTAGATCTAACACACCAGGTCAAGACAAAGGTCCGTCAGGGCTATAAATAAAAAAATGTAAAAGAATATAATACATATCTAAATTATATACTTGATAGGAAAAGCTTGGGTGAGCCAACTAGCTCACAGGAAAAAATGAGTCCAACGGCCTAGATTAAATCTGGGCCGATCTGATGATCACAGATGTCCGGTAGTGTTTGAATTTTAATTTTTTTCTAGTAATCTAAATCACTTGAAATTTTAGGCAAATAATAATTCGGGAAAAAATATTGATCAAAATACCTCCAAAACTTTTTGGGAGTATTTTGGTCAAGTTATTTCATGTAAAATATTTTTTTGATATTTTTTGAAGATTCACCTATTTTTAATGTATACACATTCCAAATTTCAAGTGATTTGGATTTATAGAAAAAAAACTTAAAATTCAAATACTACCAGACATCTATGATCGTCAGATCGGAACACATTCAATCTGAACCGTTAAGCTCATTTTTCCTATGAGCTAGTGGCCGCACCCTAGCATCTTCCATACTTAATATTATCAATATGTATTTATACTAATACATACCAGGTTGGGTCAGGTTAGGTAGACCTTGATCAAGACCCATCACCCCCTACCCAACAAGAATGTTATACCTGGACCCATACCCGACCTGACCAATTTCTCAACCCTATTAAATATTTCATTACTTCTTACCTAAAAGGAAACAAAATTAAGCTTCCTGAAAAATTATTTGTGTGGCATCTCCAAGATGCACTTTCTCCCTCAAAAATGCACCTCTCTTTCCCTTCCGAATAAAAAAAAATTCAATGATGAAAAGGACCCTCTATTTCACATGAGATGAACATCACCACGTCACCCTTCAATGAACGACCCCAGCAAACCAACATTTTCCCTTCCCTATAGAACCAGAATTAGAAGTAAAGACTGGTCGTTGGAAGGGACAAAATGGTCATATGATTAATATCTGGGTATTCCAATAATCTCACACACAAAAGGGCCTTTTGGCCATTCGCCGCAAATAAATAATGGCAAAAACATCAAAAACTTTCCTGGGAAACTCAGCTACTCCCTCAAATAAGGTTTCCATGCTGCGACTATGGTACAGCGCCGCCTGGGTGTATTTTCGTCATAAATGTTGAAGAGAAAAAAAAGGCAGTCCAGTTTCACACCTAGGGTTTTCTGTAGTATTTTTAATTCGTTAAGCCTAAACCAGTGAACAAATTCTCACAAAACCCTAAAATTATTCCAGTTTATTTCTTTAGAAAATACATAGATTTCTCTACAACAACACGAGAATTCTCCTTCTACATAATTCCATGAAAGCTTCCAGTTTCAACCCCTGAAAAATAAGCATAAATTATAAATGAAATTCAACAATATGCTGAAATAAGTTCATATATTAGAAAAATTAGGGTTTTCAATAGTCTGAATTGTGTGGTGAAGAACCAGAAAATTAGGGAATCAACGCCTTAAAATCATAGATCTGAAAAGAAAAATCAGTTCACCTTGAACTCCAGAGTGATAGATTCCAAGACCTAACCAGTAAGCATAGCCATTGATCGGTGTCAGGTCGTAGACGTTGAGGTAAACAGGAGCAGCACCAGCCTTCCGTTTTGTAGTTGCCCTACCTCTACAAAGCATCTTCGATCAAAAAAAGAGAAAAGGAGAGAAATGCTCAATTAATCCGGCCGTTTCAAGCTTACTCCGCCATTTTTCTCTGCAAATACTTAGCTTGAAAGAAAAACATCATTTTTTATTGTGAGAAAAGGGTCTGTTTTCAATGGAAAGTAGGTCATTTATGGATAAAAAAGAAACAACAAAAGAGACAAATAGAGCGAGAGAGAAACAGAGAGAAGGGGAGAGAAAGTAACACGGATAGAAAGAGAAACAGTGGAAAGCCTAGAGAGAGAAACAGAAGAAAGCCTAGAGAGAGAAACAGAAAGGAGAACGAGAGTAATTGGGAAGGAAAGAGGGCAAAAAGGAGAGAAAAAAATGAGAGATAAATCCTGGTTTTATAGAGAGAGAAACTGAGCGAATGTCAAATTTCTTTAGTTTTGAAAGAAATGGTTTCCGCACTTTTCTGCTTCGGCTTTGCTGTACATACCTTCGGTTCTACCGGAGCCGAAAGCGTCCATGTTTTGGGCGTCGCTTGTTTATTTAAATAGACGGCTACGATTAGGCACGTGTGTTAGGTTTATCCCAAAGCGTTCGATAGTTAAAAATTTGTACAATACTTCGAAGGCCCAATTGAGCTGGATGCACGGTCGAGATGCTTCGACTGGGGCATGTGCTTTTGTTCCAGGCTGTCCCTTTGGTAGGAGCACCCAATGATCAAATGCCACGTCCATCCCATCGAATAAGTGAGTGTGACAAGCAGCATCCTTAGGAGTTTAACAGAGAAAAATATCGTCCAAACCGGAAAATATGCACCAACGTTAGGATTTTAACCGAGAAAATACGGTCAAAACTAGTCGGTCAAAAAACGGATAGGCCATATGAACTAGCTCTTCTATAAATCGGTCCAGATCGATGAATAAGCAGTTTGGATCATCATTTTGATGTGTACATAAAATAGTGAACCGGTAAAAAATTATATGAAAAATAGTGAACATGAAAAAACCTGGTCTGGATCAATGAAGTGGCGGTCTAAATCCCGTTTTGCTATAGAGTTGTTGGTGTATTGTGCAAAACCACCGGTTCCCTTCTAGACTCGGTTGTTCACCTATATATACGTAGAAACGAAATGGAGTCACACATTTCTAAATCAAACCGGGCAATTTTATGCCTACCCGATGGTTTTTAAATCAGTAGCCAAAACTGTTGCAAAATTAAATGGCCTAGGAAAAGATGCCTCGTTTGCAACTTTAAAATGTAGAATTAAACTGTACCTCAAACATCTATCTAAATAGACTATTTTGATATTGAAAAATCCTCTGATTAATCATCTCCATATCGAGATGTATGAATATGAAAAAGAAGTTCTCGTCTAGAAAATAGTGCATCTTGTATCATATTATCTAGACTATATATTTTCAAGATCTTTATGTGTTTATAGATCCACTTGATTTGAACTATTTTGTAGAGTTTTAAATTTTTTTTAATTATAAATGAATATAGACTCCTAGTCCATCCTAAGAATTTTTCACACCAAAATTACATCTTATAATAAATTTGAGAGGTGTGCCTTACTTTAATTGTTCAAGGTTGCAACCTTATACAAACAACATGTGTTTGTGTAAGGCTGAAGCCCTAAACAATTGAAGCAATATTGGAATTTTTTGTTTGAAAAATATTTGTTTATTTCAAAACAAGAATATGGTTTTGTGGGTTTTTCCTAAGTTGTTTTTATAGAGAGTGAAAGTTATGGGTTTGAGTCCCACATTGAAGAGGAGAGAGTTTATTGAGCTATATTTAAGAGCACTCATTCTCATGCATTATACTATTAGTACAAAGGTAAGAGAGATAATGCATGCGAAACGTGTAATGCGCACATGCGTGTGCAAGGACGTGGGTACTTGACGGTACACTTTTACTTCCCACGCGTGAAAGGTGCCCCTCGAATGTGTACGAGTCGGGCTTGAGGATCGATCCCTTTTAGTGAGCCCAACTCGTGTGGGATAACCGACGGTCATCTAGCCTTTGATGCCTTTGGGGCATCCAATGGTCATCTAACCGTTGATGTGAGATAGAGGCTAGTAACAATAGCCAGTACATGTAACTTGTTGCTATTGGTGGTGCATGTAACTTGTAACCGTTGGTGGTGCATGTAATCACCACTATACTAAATAAGCAAGTGCAAATAACTTGTAGCTGTTGGTGTTGCATGTAACCACTACACTAAATGGGCAGCCTCTTGACTCTTTATAAAAAGGGCCCTCCTACCCATACGAGTTATATACTTAGAATACATTTTTGAGCCTCTAAACATTACACCTTTCTTTGCAATTCCAGGGAGAAAAACCAGTGGGCTAACTTCGCTCTGTACTCGATTTTGTCTCTTTCTCTATGTAAACTATCAAGACTCTGGTATCTAGTGTGTGGGTTTTATGCTCGGGTGCATAAAGCTTAAGAACATCAAAGAAGTTCTCTAGTTTCCTAAATCCTGAGGATGAATTGCCCTTCTTATGCACATAAAAAAGAATATCAAAGGGGGGCAATATCGTCTTGATATAGCTTTCCTGCATGCCTGGAAACACGAAGAGTTCGAGCTTCTAATCTTTCAGAATCGTATTATCTTCTACCTTGATTTCACCCACCAATTTCCAATAATTCAAGATGATATTTATGGATAAAATAAAGGAGATTGCTATGACTTCCTTGAAAGTCATGAACCACGATTTTACAAGATTGGAGCGCTTCAATGGCCTGAATTTCAAGAGGTAGCAACAGAAGCTCATCTTCTTGCTTACTGCACTCAAGGTGGCTTACATAGTCACTGAGTCTATGCCTACACCGCCGCCACCATCGAATGACTCCACCAATGAGCAAACTCAATCATACAAAAGATGGATGGTGGATGACTACATTTGCAAATGTCACATCCTCAATACCTTGACGGACCTAATCTATGATGTGTATGCATCCATTAGCACGACCAGAGAGCCATGGAAACTACTTGAAACCAAATACCTCATGGAAGACTCTGGTAACAAAAAAATTCTCATTGCTAATTTTGTGGACTTTAAATTCATTGAAAACAAGTCAATTCTTTCTTACATATATGAGTTGCAGCTTACAGTTAATGAACTTAAATATTGTGGAATTTCCTTAGATGAATTTTTTCTAATAGGCTTTATAATTCATAAACTACTCCCATCTAGGAGAGAGTACAAAAACAAAAAAAATGAAACATAAAAAAGTGGACATTGATTTGGTTCAACTTCAAAGATCTCTACAAATTGAAGAAGCGAATAAAACTTAAAGATTGTGGAATTTCCTTGGATGAATTTTTTCTAATAGGCTCCATAATTCATAAACTACCCTCATCTTGGAGATAGCACAAAACAAAATGAAATGTAAAAAAGAGGACATTGATTTGGTTCAACTTCAAAGATCTCTACGAATTGAAGAAGAGAATAGACTTAGGGAAATGAAAGATGAAACTATGAATTTCCATACTAATGCAAACCCTGTTGAGCAAAAATCAAATGCTCTATATAACAAGAAGCATTTCTTTCCTCAGGTCCATAATAAAATTATAAGGATCAAAAGGTTAATGCCAACAAAAATAAAAAGAAACCCTCTTGCTATGTATATCGAAAAACCTGCCACTATTCAAGAGGATGCCGACACTCGGAAATGGCTCAAAAGGCCTAGAGACCAAGTGAACTTGACCACTGATGAACATTTTGTAGCAATGGATAGGTAAATAAACATGATCGATACATAAAATGGATGGTGGATCGATACCAGCGCTACCATTCATGTATCTGACAAACGAAACATGTTTAATACTTTTAATTCAATGGGTGATGGTCATTCGATTCAACTTTGAACCCATGTCATAGCAAAAATTCTTGGAATTGGCATACTAGAACTAAAGTTTAGTTGGAGCAAGGTTTTTACCTTGGAAAATGTGTTTTACATACCGGATATGAGAAGAAACATTGTCTCTGGATGTATTTTTAACAAGAAGGGCTTTAGAATGGTTATTCGGTCTGACAAACTTATTTTGACCAAAAACGATATATTTGTTAGCAAGGGATACTCTTGTGATGGGATGTTCAAGTTTGATCTAGTTAATGAGATAATTAAGTATCTAGTTAGTGAAATAAATAAGCCTTTTACTTATATTGTGACTTCTTGTAATGTGTGGCATGGTAGATCAGGACATGTTAATTATGCTTCTATTAAATATTTAGTTAAATTAAGATTTGATTTTTAATTGTCATGATAACTAAAGGAAAATATAAAATATGTGTACAAGCTAAAATAACTAGAAAATATTTTCCTTCAATTGAAAGAAACAGTAAATTACTAGGACTTCTACGTAGTGATGTATGTGATTTAAATAATATTCTAACTAGAGGTGGTAAAAGATATTTCATTACCTTTATTGACGATTTTTCGAGATATGCTTATATTTATTTTCTTAGACATAAAGATGATGCTTTTGAAAATTTTAACGTTTGCAAAGTGGAACTTGAAAATCAACTTAGCAAGAAAAATTAAATTTATAAGAAATGATAAGGGTGGAGAATATTTATTAAATGAATTTATGGGGTGAAGCTTTATTGTCTGCATGTTTTATTTTCAGTAGAATTCCATATAAAAAGAATGATATGGGCTTTGGTTTGATAGAATATTTTCTTTAAATTTTCTTAAAGTATGAGACTGTCTTCCAGATCATAAAAGAAATAAATTAGGTCCTAGAACCACTAAATGCTTTTTTGTGCGATATTCACAAAATAGTAAATCATATAGATTTTTTGATCTAAATTCTAACAAAGTAATAGAATCTAGAGATGCTGAGTTTTTATTAAATCTCATTTGTAAAAGTGAATTAAGTAGCGTGCCTAATGAAAATAATCATGAAAATGATCAAAATGTTGATGAAGAACATATGGAAAATATTGATGACGATATAATATAACCAAGTCAAAGTGAAAGAATTAGAAGTGATCCCTCTTACAACTTTGGACCGGTTTTTATATTTATCTAGTTGACGCTTATCAAACAAAATTTAAATTCAGGTCCTATATATTCAAATGTGGAGGTAAATTCTACATCATTAAGTGAAGCCTTAGCATCTCAAGATGCAATTTGTTTGGAGAGAAGCTAGAAATAGTGAAATGGACTCCATAATGGCAAATAATGTTGGGCTTATGTGGCCTTTCAAAGCCTTATGAGTGTTTGTAACAAAAAAAAATTGATATAGTGGAAAATAAACTTAGTGGGAGTGTGGTCCCTCGTGAACCATGCTATGCAAACAGTGTTCGCAGATACCGATATGTGCTTGACGATCTAGGCCAGTAGGTTGGGAAAAACCCATGTTACACGAGCATGAAGAACAAACCGATGAGGGTTTATGGGTTAGCCCTTGATGAGGCCGGAGAACATGCTTGGTTAAGTGAGCCGAGGGCCTATATGATCTTT